TTCTTCTTGCTGTATTCAGATTTTCATTTTAAGGTTAAAGTGTACAACTATTTTCAAATAGCTCTTTTCTGCACATGTAAGCATTTAAACTTTTATGCATCAAGACTCCCTCTATATAGGTAAATATACAAAGTCTTTGGGCTTTAAAAAAAAGTCATATCCAAGTCACAGTGAAAAAAGAAAGAAAGAACCAACCTGTTTCAGTCAGCAGAGAGGAGCAGTGTTGAGTGCAGAAAGTAAAATCAAATGAACTCTCTTACTCCGAGTACTTTTGTTTTCACTTTACACCCCGCCTTTATCTTGCATCCAAAAAGGGTTTCCTGAAATTTAACCTTGTGAGAACTTGATCTTTTACTTTACATAAAACCATCCTGTGAAGTTAAATCCAACTTCTTAAGTGTTCTAGGTTACAAATTTGAAAGAATTCCCTCTTGTTTCAAAAACTACAGACCTTTCAGAGTTTCTGCTTAGCCAAAGAGAGCAAGAAAGTTCCTACAGCTGAGCAACTGACTGCTAAACCAAAAGGAGAATCCACCCAAGAACATCCAGCCAGCCAACAAGCACTTGTAGATAGCATCTAGAGAAATATTGCCTAAAGTTCTTTCATCTAGGAAAGAAAACAAAATTGATTTTAGCCCAGAAAATTATCTTTTTAAGACTAAGTTATGAGTAATCTTTAGGCATTTGTGGTAGAATTTAATATTTTCATGACATCATTTAATATTTTACTTAAATAGACTATTGCTGGCTATTCTTTCTCTATCCTTGTCCTAGAGTGTGCCTTTCCCCATGGCTTTAAACTCTCTTGCTTTCTTGTAACCTCTTTTTCCAAAGACCAGAATACAAACCTTCAAAGTCCTTTGGTCTGGGGAGGCTGTTTATTTTTCCCATGCTTCCAAACAAATGAAAGTTAAAGAAAGAAGAGAAATGTATGCAGATTTGGCCCTCGTGGTCTATTTGAACTTGACTCTCCTCACATTTGCATGGCAGTTGCTTTATTTATTTTCTCATGCAAGGCTAGGCTCAGTCTCCACCTGCAGAAGTTATTTCAGACCCATAAATACCATTTTTTCTCCAAGCAGTTGGTCTAATCTTCTTGTGGATTCAGAAAAAAAAAAAGAGGTTCATAAGGGCCTTCATCTTCCTTTATGTTCCCTCACTATATGTCTGAGGGTACAGCCAACTTCTCCTCCTAATTATCCATCACTCTTTGAGGAAGCATCATCGGCATGCAGCTAAACTAGCTCGCCAAGAAAAGAGTTCCTGGATTTGTGGCATTTGCTATTTTCCATGTTATATATATTCCCATCATAGCCAATTTCAAGCTACCAAGGTAAAGTCACTGAATACAAAGTTACTACCAGATGAGCATAATTACAGCTCCTGAGCAGGCTCTAGTACAGTTCTTCCAAAAGAGGCATCTCTTCTCCTTACCATGGTTGCTCATTCCTCCAATCTCTTGCTGCCAGCTGAAGAATACTGCTATTAATGTTATCCCTTCCCTGGCTAGGCCATCTGGTCTCTCCCCTTCTCTTACCTCTTATTCTTCTTGATCTTCTGTACATTAGGGTAGGAGGAGGTGAAAGAACAACCCTCCACTGAATTCTCATAGTAGCCTGCAATATCCCGCAAGGTCTGCCTCCATCCCTCATTGCCTCTCAGACCTCATTTCATACCACTTGCCCCTGTGCCTGGTGGTTCTGCCACACCCATCTGCTTGCTGTTTTGGAGCATACCAGCCATATCCTGACCAGGACTTTTGTGCTGGCTCTTCTGTCTGCCAGGAATGTGCTTTCTCTTAATATTTCCAAGGTTCACTCCCTCATCTCTTTCAAATCTCTGCCCAGTCGCCACCTGTTCACTGAAGCAATCCTTGACTACTCTATTTAACATACCCCTCACCCACCTGGATTCCCAATCCACCTTATCTGTAACACTTAACATATTCTAAGACACCGTATCATTTATGTTATGTTGTTATCTATTGTCTCTCACCCTGTATTAGAATATAGGCTTCATCAGAACAGGGACTTTTGTTTGCTTTGTTCATTATCTCAAGTGCTTAGAATAGTGCTTGACACATAATAATAAATTTTTTTTTTTTTTTT